ACTTTAACTAAAACTGTTTTTATTATCAGCTGTTTGTTCTTAAATTAACTCAGTTTTATAATTGATTCATGTTTTGTCTTCAGACACTGAACGGTAAATAGTGTCCTGCTGCGGGWCGCGGGGTCAAAGGTCATCATGGGGTCGGCGGTGGAACGGACAGATGAACACGTCAGGGAGTACCTGATCTACAGGGGCTTCACCAACACCCTGAAGCACCTGGACCACGAGATCAAGGCCGACAAGGAGAAAGGCTTCAGGGTSYGTTGGACGGGAAGGTGGACAGGTGTCCTCCAGACGGAGACAGGTTGATGACGTTTGTCTCCTCTGTCCACAGGTGGACAAGATCATCGAGCAGCTGCAGCAGTTCGTCCAGAGCTTCGACCTGTTCGGCCTGAAGGACTACTGGCTCTACCTGGACAGGAGGCTGTTCTGCAGGCTGGAGGACGTCTACGGGTCCACCGTCAACAAACTGAGGACCAGTCTGTACCGCTACTACGTCATCAACACCATCCAGGTGAGTCAGAGGGCAGGTCAGACAGGTGAGTCAGCAGGAGACAGGTGAGACAGGTGAGACAGGTGACAGGTGAGACAGGTGACAGGTGAGTCAGCAGGTGACAGGTGAGACAGGTGACAGGTGAGACAGGTGACAGGTGAGACAGGTGACAGGTGAGACAGGTGACAGGTGACAGGTGAGACAAGTGACAGGTGAGACAGGTGACAGGTGAGACAGGTCAGACAGGTGACAGGTGAGACAGGTCAGACAGGTGACAGGTGCTCTGTGATCTCTGCAGAAAGGAAATCCAGAGAAGACTCAGGAGTTCTTCCAGAAGCAGGCGTCGGAGCTGCAGACTCAGGCCGAGTGGCGTGATTGGTTCATCCTGCCGTTTGTTCCCGCCCCCGAGCAAAACCCCGCCTTCGCCCCGTACTTCTCCCGCCAGTGGGCCGACACCTTCCTGGTCTCACTGCACAACTTCCTGTCTGTCCTCTTCCAGTGCATGCATATCCTTCAGGTGCTGGGACCAGAACCACAGAGTCCACCGGGTTCTGCTGCGGCTCAGAACCAGACCAGCAGCTGCTTCTACGGGTTCTGGTTCTACGGGTTCTGATTCCCTTTATCTGCGAACCAGATATTTTGTTTATCTTGATGTGAGTTCTGTTCCGGGTTCTGTCCTGGGTTCTGTCCTGGGTTCTGGTCCTTAACCGGTCTCCACCTCAGCCGGTTCTGCTGAGCTTTGATGCTGAAGTCCAGAAGATGACGGGTCTGGCTGAGGAGAACGAGCAGTACCGTCAGATGGTGAGAGGATCCACCAAACCCAGAACCAGAACCAGTCAGAGAAAACCTGGACCCAGTCCCTGACCCAGCAGAACTCTGATGGTTGACCCACTCTTCTGTCCATCATCAGGGTCTACTCAGGTCTCTGAGGGTCCCACAGGGTTTCAGTCAGGTTCTGGACTCTGGACCCATTTTTTTGTTTGTTTGTTTGTTTGTTTGTTTGTTTGTTTGTTTGTTTGTTTGTTTAACATGTTGTTTTCTTCTCCAGCTGTTCGCTCTGCAGACTGAGAGCCAGGACCAGAGGGATGGGGACCAGCTGGTCCTCCACAAGCTGCCTCTGTACGTCCAGAACATGGACCGTCTGGGAGACACTGAGCTGTGAGACAAACCGTCTTTACTGAGGACAACAAAAACAAACATACATTTATTTATTTATTNGTCTCACAATAAGACAGTCTCACAATAAGACTGTCTCGCAATAAGACTGTCTCGCAATAAGACTGTCTCGCAATAAGACAGTCTCACAGTAAGACTGTCTCACAGTAAGACTGTCTCACAGTAAGACAGTCTCACAGTAAGACTGTCTCACAGTAAGACAGTCTCACAGTAAGACTGTCTCACAGTAAGACTGTCTCGCTGTAAGACAGTCTCACAATAAGACTGTCTCACAGTAAGACAGACCGCAGTAAGACATTCTTGCAGTAAGACTGTCTCGCAGTAAGACTGTCTCACAGTAAGACAGTCTCACAATAAGACTGTCTCGCTGTAAGACTGTCTCACAGTAAGACTGTCTCACAGTAAGACAGACCGCAGTAAGACATTCTCGCAGTAAGACTGTCTCACAGTAAGACTGTCTCACAGTAAGACTGTCTCACAGTAAGACTGTCTCACAGTAAGACTGTCTCACAGTAAGACT